TGAATATAAAAAACATATATGAATGAAAGGTCTCATTTCAACTGGGTCTTATTTAGAATGTTATTGCACTTTATGGGTTCTGTTTGAAATGGCACATCTTCTGTTTTACCTATATTAATGTGCCTTCCCTTCCCACCTTGATTCTTTTCAAGGCTTTATTTTTACCCTGTTTATTTTATTAAAGCAGGGCTGTCTGTTGACCATAACAGTGAACTTTACATTTCTAGTTCTATATGTATAGCAGAAGTATGCCATGGGGTAAATCACTTAGCCTTTCTTTGTTCTTATTTTTTTTCCACTTGACCAAGTAAGACTCTATTTTCTTTCTTTTCCCCAAAGAATCCACTAAATAATGTATAAGATTTGAAGGTGATGTTTCTTCGGGGAACTAAGGCAGAGTGTTTCCTTTGAGAGGGGAAAATGGTCCATTGTTGAAGCATAGGATGAGATTGTGATTCTAATTTATTCTCTTTGAACCTAAATGGCCAATGCCCCTCACTGTGAGATGTAGTTCCTAGGATACTTCCTTTAACCAAACCTTTCCTCCACAAAGCTGGCACCTTTTAGACTACAGAAAAAGGAGCCCACCCAACCCCCTTCTATAATTCGAGAGAAAGCAGAGATCTGAGAAAGTGCCTGGTCTTAGCTAACCTTCCAACAGCCAGGTTCCAAGTGTTGCATGGAGATCTGCCCCTGCCTACTGTCCTGTAGAGCCAGCTTGATCCTGAACTTATTCAATCTTGATAACTGATTATAATTTGGATATACCTGAGGCTTTCTTTGTTTATGCTTGCTTTTCTTGATAGATGGAGTGTCGCAATGTTTCCCAAGCTGGCCCCAAACTCCGTGACTCAGATGTTCTTCTGCTGTAACCTCTGTAGTAGTCCATTATCCCTGACTTCACCTCATTTTTTCAAGAGAAAATATTGTGTCTTCCTGACTGAATATTAGTCTGTGTTTTCTTTTAGTCAACAAATATTGGGTCTCTCTTTTGTGCCTGGCATTGGGTCTAAGGACACCATGAAAAATAAGACTGAAAATATATACATATATGTGTGTATATGCATACCTTCACACATGTGTGTGCATATGTATACAGAGACACATGTGTATATACATGTTTGTGTATGTATATATAGGTTTGTGCATGTGCATAGAGGCAGTACATTCCAACAGAAGAAGTTAGTGTTGAGGGTCACACTAACAAGGTAGTAATTCCTCTGTAAAACTGTAGCATTTCATGCTTCAGACTTGATTCGGGAGCGTATAATTTGTTTAATAACTAAATCTAAGTTTCACTTACACCTTTAACAAAGATACAAACAGAATCAAGGTTGAGGAGGGAAGAGCACAAGGAGAAATTAAAATGGAGCATCATTAAAGTCACCCCAAGGAAATAATGATTTTCCCAAGATCACTTGCTTTCACTTCTAATTGTTGAAAGAATGTGAATGAAAAAACAGGCTTTTGACTTCTGAATTTTCCTCAGTTGGCATTCATGGCTTTCATGAACACTGCATGACAGAGAAAAGAGGGACTTTTGACTGGGTAGAAAAGGAAGGAAGGGAAAGAGAAGCCAACCTTCGCTGATCATCCGGTAATGCTGTAGTATCCTTTGTCACAAATGGAAGCACTTACGTTGTAATGTTAATAGTAATAGGTACAGCTGGGATTCATACTCAGTTATATTACAAATTATCTCTACCAAGTTCCCTGAGATCCTCTGAAAAGGTAGCCTGGCTGAAATTTCAAAATATATCTTCTGTCCTGTCTATGTTAAGGGTATCTGTTCTGTGGTTCTTTTCATTCATGGGTGCTGGTGGAGAGCCTCCAGTGGGGTCAGCATTGAGAAGTTGGGAACCCAGGGAATGTGTCTCCTTACAGATGGAAAAAAATGGTAGGATCATGCCTCCATTTGATTGTGAAAGGCGGAATGTGTTCCATAACTAAATGTCACTTTCATTTAGATCTTTTAGCAGAAACACAACTACAGTCAAGTGGGAGAGAGGATGACACACAAAGGAAAGAGAAATGTCACTCATTATGCCACATACTGAGTAGCCAAGATTTCTTGTTTTTAATCAAATACATATTTTTAATTTTTCTGGTTTTTTTGAAGACTATTATCTTTACGTACTTTAACGAAGTTGCCATTTAACAAAGCAGTTTATGAATACAATATATCTTGATCGACGTCACCCCTTTCAACATTCTCACCCATCCTTCCCTACCAGCCCCTTCCCTCACTCTTCTTAATTTTGTAGGATAGACATTGGATTCTTGACTGCATTCTCTTCTCCCTTCTCCTTTTCATGTGATTCATTTACTCTGTTCCTCTTGATCTTATCCTACTACATTCAAGTCCTCATTTCTGATGTCTCATTTTTGAAATGTGGACTTTTTCAAAGGTTTTGTTTATTGTTATAGGCATTTATAAAATAGTCGTGTCCAAAATGACCTTTTTCTCTTCTTCTCTGAACCACTGAATCAGCATGGTCTTAATTCTTGCCCCTACACAATCTCTGGACATTGGCTAAAGCCACAAGGCTGTCATGGAACCACTGCCTCTCTGCAGTGAGTGTGACCAGGAGGTGGGAGCTGAAGCTGGCAAGGCCTGTATATGGTGCCTCTTTCCTTTCTTATGGCATGCTTTGTTGGAGCCTGCACAGCAGGGTGGGTAAAGGATAGAATTGCAAGCAGATATTGTATTTTCTCTTGTTTTGTGAAGCCAAGAGCCTTGATATTTTTTAAGAATTCAATGTAAATGACAACTGACATGAGAAAGAGATCTTCAGGGTGCCATAAACATCTTTACAATCATGGGGATGGGAAAGCGTGCATGTATACATTTTCTCTTAAAAATTCTATGGAGTCAGTATTATCTACCATCTCCCCAAAAGGCAGAGACACAGTCAGAAGACAAAAGTCTAAATTGGTACACAAAATTCTGTATGCATGCCAAATAGAAGAGAGACAAAATGAACTGTTGACCTAACCAACCCTTAGATTTCAATGGCTGAGCTCTTTCAAGATTATACACTTCTATATTTCATTAAAAATTGTTTCCTGAAGTGTGTACTGTCTTCAATTTTGAATAAAACATATATTAAAATAAAATTGAATAATAGCTAAAATTCAGATTTACATCAACTTTGAAAACTGAAGGTTAATTTAAATTATATAACATATTTCAGTTATAGTACCTGGTTATACATGGAGAATCTGGACTCAAGGACAAAAAAATCTGCATAGATTTTTCAACATTTTTAGGATGCTTTCAGAGAAGTCATCATTTATAAAAAAAAATGGTACTAAAATCCTGTCATACTGTCATTTAAATGGAAAGTCAATGCTTCCCAAAAGAGATTTTGATGCTATAAAATTGCTGTATTTTTTTCCCTTTTGGCCTTTTGTTTTTTTGCTTAGTGTGTGTGTGTGTGTGTGTGTGTGTGTGTGTGTGGTGTTTTCTTTTTTCATTTTCTTGGAAGTCTAGATCTACCAAGAAAGATGCTGGTTTCTTCAATATCTTTGACTCTTTGCTTGTACAATGAAGAGTCATCTTTGTGTGAAAGAAAAAGGTCTGGTTGATCTAGGGTGAGCCATTCATTTTAAGAAGAGTTAAAGTCTGGGGTGTTTTTAATGTTTTAATCTCTGCTTAAAAGGTTTCTGTTATGAGAGGAAAATTGATAACATTTTTACCTCAGCAAACTGCCAGCAAACTGGCTCTGCTCTAATCCCACATTTATAGTGATTTATATTCTCCGTGGCAATGTGCTGTAACCTCAGAGTGATACCACAGTGGTGCAGATTGACTGCATTCCAAATGCTGGAATCACATACATAATGTTTTTACTTTTAAATAATATTCAGACACCAGAATAAATACCATATGTGCACTGATGCTGGTTACAATGGGACCTTGTCATTTCTTGTGAGGGAGAACATTCTTTGTTTCTGATGCCTGTTTGAAATAAGTATGCTAAAGATAAATATGTACATTGACAGCATTTTGAAAAGACTTTGGTAATTATGCAGCTGAGGATGTAGCTAGGATTCCTTAAAATGCAGCGTTTGAAATGAAGAATGTTGCTGTATGTTGCTACCTTCCCTCATTGACAACCAGGGCAGGGATTGTTCTCTGGCATTTCTGGAGTTAGGCTATCTCTTTATATTCTGTATCTACAGTGTGTTTTGGGTAAGAGGACATCTGTTGAAGAAAAATTACCTTCGTGAACACTGCTCATAGGAATAGTGAGACTTACATGCTGTTGACATTGTAACAGGGAGAATAACACACCCGATAATGGGGAAGGATGGATTGATTGGAAAGCCATAATTCAGTGTGGGGCCTAATGTCAGCTGATGCCACAAAGGCATTATTTAGGTGGCCTAACATCATCAAAATACAGATAATCAGTCTCTCCATTTTTTCCCACGTGATACTGAAGATTTAAAAGTTTCATAAAGTTTAAAGATACTTCTCAAGTCGTATGCTTTTCAGTTTTCATTTTTTATCTGTCCTGGTTGGAATCTGAATCTACTTAGACATATTTTTTTTACATAGACATGCTGGAATACCTATCATATTTGTACATCTCTTAACAGGCTCCAACAAGTCAATCCACATTTGCTTCTTAAGGAAGCATTTCCACCCAGGTTTGTGTTATTACCATTGGCTGAGCTATATTGAATTAGTGCTTTGAACATTTTTATAATGTTTTACGGATGATGAGCCCCTAGGCATTGATATTGATGGCTTTCCTACATCTGCACCTCTATCCCCACCCAGTTTTGTGAGGTTTGCCCAGAATATATGATGTGAGATTAATGTGTGAGTAATACATCATAATGTACCTCTGACATTTTATCTGGTACAATGACTCAGAGTCTGGGTGAGTCTTGCTTCCCATATAAGAGTATTTCCCATTTTAAAAGTGCATTTTAAGTTGAGAAGTTCTGAAACAAACAAGTCTCTAACATATATTGTCTTCTCTTTTCAGCCTTTCGGATGATCCCTTATCCCTTGGAAAAGGGGCATCTATTTTATCCATATCCAATCTGTACAGAAACAGCAGACCGAGAGCTGCTTCCCTGTAAGTCTTAGCCCTCTAGAGTCCTCTCTTCAGCCAGGGAGAGTGGAGTGACTAAAGGTGGGAATGGGAAGAGGCTAGAATGATAAATGTTTATCATGTTCTTTATCTTTTATTGTTTTTCCGCCCAACCCCTGGCCTTGTTTGATAGCAGATATATTAAAGTGAATTATGTGAGTGGGTTGGGTTTCCTGTTCCTCTAAGTCTGTCCACATTCATCAAAGGGAGAGATGCCAAAGGACTGAGATTTAGAAGAGGCATCACGTACAGACGGGTCTGAGCACCGAGAGTGATAGTATGTGCTGGTACTCACCGGGCGGGGCTGTCATGGAGGTTTCTGCCTCCACAGCAGGTCAGCTGGGTTATTATGCACAGGATGGAGTGTAGAGGAAGTGCTGACTTCAGAGGGAGCTGTGCATGAGTCACGGGTGGGAGAGCGATACAAGCAGTGGGTCAGGGCAGTATGCTCTCCCTAATGATGCAATGTTCTTGGCCTGAGGGTTTCCCGTGAGCATCTTGTGGGCTGCATATAGTGAGTTGGCTGACATGTGCAGAGCACACGTGCAGCCTCAGCACTCGGATGGAAAACCCTGCCCTTAAGTGCCTTACAGGCCGCCAGCCGAATGGCCACACCACATGCTGAAAGTTTGTTCTTTTTTGGTTTACTGTAATACAACATTGTTTTGACAATTAAAGCTAAATAGTTATTATCAAATCATACTGTGTATAAGGTTCATGTCCAGGCTCTTCATGTGGCCTGACTTAAGACATATTTTTCTCCCACAGATGATAAGTTATAAGCTTTGATTCCTCTCTCTGCCCTGTCCCCTTGCCTATTACCGTCTCCCTCTTACCAGTCCTAGCAATATCAGTACCTCACAGTTAGAACACATACCAATACTTTCCCTCAAGGAGTAGTATAACTTTGGAGTGCTGGGTTGCATAGTAAATTTTCAAATGCCTGCGTTTATTGAAACAGTCATCAATCTCCAACATGGGGGCTCTAGGTGAAAAGCTGAATTGCTAGATTTACCTGGCTTACCTCCTTGCTAACCAGCCCCACTGTGAGTTGTGTTCCTTTGGGAACTAAGAGAACTTTGTCTGAGTTCTATTACCAAAACCTGGTGCCTCAGATGACATTACTTTGATTTCAGAAATCCCTATATGGGCCTATAGTATACCTTCTGACTCTTCCTTCAGGAGGAGCTAAAATGTTACCATTTTCAAAGTTTCACTTTTCTGGCAAGAGAGTTTTCCTGGAAAGTATAGTGTTTAATGTTTTCATTAAATCCAATTAAATTTTCAGAGGAATAGATTGGCTATTAGAACAAGGTAGAATTTTTTAAAACTTTATGCAGATAATCTCCACAAGCCTGAAATAGAAAATTATGACTTATGTTTATTTATTTGAATGCCATGATCCAAGTCTGATCATCACCAGAAGCTTCTTTGGGGTTAAGTTTTGAGGGTAAGGACATGAAGAGGGCTGACTTCTGTAAATGCTGCCCAGATCTTACAGATACACAGTATAATCATTGCCATATTGAGCCCTGAGTGTCATTCCACCCTGGAACCCTAAAAGGTTGATTTAACCAAGATGTAACTTGTCTTGGCTTTATACCTCCCTCATGTCCTCTACCTTCAGTTTTCAGCGGTGTAGATTAGAGTTTTGAGTAATAAGAGATGTATAGTCAAGCAAGGGCCTTGAGACCATGTACTTCTGAGGAGAATGGACCATGGATCATTATGGTTTGAGTGCCATGATTGTTCACCTGCAGTTTCTCAGCTCTCCATCTGCCAGGCTCCTGGGCAGTTCTTTTCCTCATCTGTGTAGTCAGAGACTCCCCTCCTCCCTTCCTGACCAGAGCTGTCCTCTCCCCAAACACTTACATGATCAGCAGAAGGGAGGTGCCAATTCTTTTGGCTTTTCTACCACTGCTTTTGTTTTCCCCAAACCCAATGTTTGAAGTTCAACAGTTATGGAAAGTGCTCTCTTTGTTATTTTTTTCTGATGGTGATGATTGTTATATTTATCACCAGCAGTTTTCTGCAGATAACTCTTATCAATCTGACCCTCATCCCTAGCAGCTTGAGAGGCCAGCATGCTGTCAGAGTAGGCTCCTCCACTGGCATATTCAGGATGTGCCAGGAAAAAGTCTAAGATAAATGAATATCACTTCATTCTAGTACTTTTTAAATACAGGAAAGCGAAAATGTAGATGGGATTTTTTTTTCAGTATACTTGAGTTTTGGATTTTCCAGGTTTTATTCAATGAACATATAACTTGAAGGAAGTTTTGCTTTTTTTGAGAAAGGAATAACATAGATTAGATATAAATGGTGCTTTACAGAAATGTGAGACATCCCCAAATTACCTCATTGTGCTGGGAGCAGCAGGCTGGACCTGGACTTGGGAGAAGCAGATAGGCAGCCGTAGGTTGGGAGAAATACTGGCTGTGTTTTGTTCTGTGTCTGGCTATTTCATTGCCAACAGCATTTATCCAAAGCTCTAAGGAGTCAGTCCCATCAAATAGAAATCCCTCCAGGATGCTTTTCATGCCAAGTCTAACATTTCTCTCTTGGTCTTCTCCACAGCTTTCCATGAAGTCTCAGTTTACCCAAAGAAGGAGCTCCCTTTCTTTATCCTCTTTACTGCTGGATTGTGTTCTTTCACAGCCATGCTGGCCCTCCTGACACATCAGTTCCCAGAACTTATGGGGGTCTTCGCAAAAGCCGTGAGTATTTGCCAAGAGGGAAGACTTGGGAAATGGCTAGGGAAAACCAGGGGAAGCAGCGTGTGAGAAATGTGGGTGTTGTTGCACTGAAATGGTTGCAAGCCTCCAGAGATCACTGGCTCACTGTTTAATTTTCCTTATCAATGGAATCAAAGGGTTAAGAGCCAAATGAAAAAGCACAGGTTGTTAATGCATGCCTTGCTTTATTCCCCAAAACAAATTCTCAGCAGTTTCCAAAATATGCATGAAGTCCAAAAGGATGAAATAATGGAAGGAATCATAGCAAATGAGACAATGGTGGGAAAAGGATTCAATTTCGTACATATCAAATGACATTATTTCCAATCTTTGGATATTTTGTCTTTCCTTCATAAAGGGTGAGATTTATATCTCTAAGGATTATTTAAATAGTTTTAAAAAATAGTTACACACCCTTGACCTGTTTGAGGAATGAGCTGTGAGAAGGTATGAAAATTTGTCATATTAAGAAGTGTATGACATGGCATTTTGAAATAGGAAAATCTGTGAATTGGCTTTGAGGAGGAGGTGGAGAGGGCTGTGATGGAGCCCTCCAGGCTAACAGCCAGAGATCATTTCTACCTGCTCATTCAGTAAGGGAGGGTGTCCAAATTTTGCTACCTCTGGGTGTCAAACAGAAGCAAGAAGGAAAAGAGCATCAGTTGTTTCCCTATGCTCCATTCAGATCTCAAGGTGAGTGGAATCAGCAAGGAATCAGTTCTAACTTCGCTGGGTGGATTTAATGCCTTTCCAGATGATTGACATTTTCTGCTCGGCAGAATTCAGGGACTGGAATTGCGAGAGCATTTTCATGCGTGTTGAAGATGAACTGGAAGTCCCACTGGCACCTCAGTCTCAACATTTTCACAACTGAACTCATCACCCTTCTTCTCCTGCCACCCATACCATATGCCTCCTTTTGTGCTCCTGACCTCTGTGGTGGGCCTGCGTTCCCCCAGTTAGGCCACAAACTGGGCAGTTCACAGTTTGTTCCTTGTCTCAATCTCTGCTTGGCCTTCACACTCTGTGGTTCTAAGCATTTATCACCCAGGCACTTGGTAAGTCTAATTCACCTTCCTTCTCTTCTCACAGCATCTTTAGGTTATCTTCTTGTTATTTCTGGCTTGAGGTCATGTAATTATCTTAGCTAGTCTCCTTGCTTCCAGTCTTATCCTCTACCAGGCCTTCTTTCATATTGACACAAGAGTGGTCTATCTAAGCTGACAATGCAAGCATGTTACTTCCCTGTTTGAGTTTCTTCAACAACTCTCCATCGACTTCAGAATAAAGTTCCACCATAGCGTTCAGGACTTGTTGTTATACAGCATTTGCTTACTTCCTAAGCTCCGTTTTCCCAACCCTTGCACAGACCCTGCTCTTCAGCCATAATGAAGTACTCATCATGCCCAGATGCAGGCTCTTCCTCTGTGCCTTCGCATGCCCTATTTGCTGTGTGTAGACGGCCCTTCACCATCGCCACCCTACTTGTTCACTGTACAATTAGTTCTTCATTCTTTCATATTTAGCCTTTCTTAAGTCTCACCTAAGCTGAGTGAGATGTCTCCTCTCCATGATCCCACAGAGTTCCATGCATTGTCTACATGATCTGATTGTTGGATCCCCTCCCCTTTGGGATGTGTGCCTTTTGAGAGCAGGACTGAGCTTTCCTCATCTTTGTATCCCCAAAGTTTTGCACAGTGTCTTGCACATAGTAGGTTTTCAATAAATGATTATTAAATGACTAGACAGTAGTGGTCTCTAAAGAATCAGCATAAAAATTAGATACCATTTAGCATTTCTTCCATTCTTTTACACAACTGTCATAGATTCTTAGGGTTGAAAGGAACTTTTAAAAAAATGCCTTCAGTAGTAACTAAAGAGAGGTCATCTAGACTCATCTCAATTAAGATTATATTACTGTTCAAGTCTGCCTCCCTTTCACTTCCACTTCTTATTCCTTGCTGTCCTGAAAGCACACTAGGCAGGTCTCCATTCTCTTGCAGATCACCTGGACCACTTTTCAGAGCCACACTGAAGCTCCTGTTCCCTTTCTTATATCCCAGGGAAAACATCTTACATTTCCTTAAGTCTTTCCTACATGATATGTTTTCTAAATCCATTATCAACCAGGTTGTCACTATGAGTGTTGGTTAGGTTTATGGACATGCAATTCCTTGTTCGCTTCTTCATAGCTGCCCTATAAACAAAAGTGGTTGCCAAAACCCTGAGATTAGAATGAAACTTTGTAAAATATAAAGTCAGAATACACTTGTAACATTAGACAATTACTATTCTTCCTTTCATATTTCACCCTTAAAGTTTTCTAAATATATTTATAGAGTATCTCGTTGATCTTTAAACTGGGTAACAGTAGTTGCTGTTAGGACTTTTGATTAGTATGGAGATTCTCAACCTCTAGAAGACTCCACCTGGATGCACCATCACAATTTAGAATCTTGATGGTAACACAAAAGGTTTTTTTTTCAAAGATCCCATCAGCCTCTGAAGATGGAGATTGAGGACCATATTTCCATTCAAGGACCAAATCATATTTCCATTCAAGGCAAATGCTTAAGCAGCCATTTGAAGCTACACAGTGGACTGTCAGAGCTATTCAAAGCAGAACTGTCCAGGATGTGGCTTCAACCTCAAATTCTTCCTGTGTGGTAGAATCATCGAAGATGGTTACAAATTACTGATGCCCACCTTACCTTACCCCTCCCCCCATGCCTAATGACTGGGCACAGCTTTGGCACAGCTTGGATGTTGTCTAATGTTCTCCAGTGACTCAGATATGCAGCCCCTAGCTGATGATTCACAATAGCAAATGTGAACTAACTACTTTGTGGCTACTTTAAACAGAAAGGGGGTTTGTAGGTAAAGGCAAGGTAAATAGGATATGACTTAGAAGCGACCTAGAAAGATTATATGGCTGCCCCTTCAGAATATATGCAAGAGGCCACTCTTCTTTGAGGTTCCGAACCTTTGGTTTTTGAGTCTAGGATCAAATGATTGAACAAAATAGAAATCCGCCTTTAGGGTCCTCATATTTAGTTCTCCATAAGGTGTGATAGTTTCATCAGCTATCCATAATTTTCAAATGTAGTTTTGATAAATTTGCTTTTAAACCTCTGTGTGGAGAATCCCATCCATCTTGTCCTTCATTTAGGTCTAGCAGTTTCTAAAACGTCTGGAAAGGCTTAGTGGAAAAAGAAGATGGATGACCTGAATGAGACAAGCCCCATGTCCCCCCCGCCCCGAGTCTTGTCCACATCTTCACCCTTGTCACTCCATGAGACCCCTCCCAAAGCCCCCCACACCCCCAAGGGTTATCACAGCTGCCCTAGCAGCTGCTTGAAACCATTTGCAGCTTGTGAAAGTGACTTTCTCAGCCCTCTCCTGAGATAATGCCCCTGGTATAAAGACTTTTAATAGATGCAGAGAGATTGTGTCGCCCCGCACCCCCAGACTACACAGCGTGGGAACTCCAGTGTGTTTACACACTGATTGCAGCCAGTAAGGAAGCCACAGCCAAGTGTGGGACACTGGAAAAGAGGGAGACAAGAGGTTTCAACTGCCTTGCCCCCTAATCTAATCTACCTCAATGACTTAGGACTAACTCTTCCTAAAATGTTTGGTTCCCAAGATAAGGTTGCTCATATAAATAAGTCATCATTGCAGGCCCAGCTCCTCACAGAATGTGCGAAGGTCAGCATTCTGACCTCTTGTGCTCTCCAGGGCCTGTCTTTCCTCCTCTGAGGCTGAGCCCCCTGACTTCTGACTCGTCTTCACTTGCAGGCCCTGACCTCTTTGAAGTCTGATATTGATTATAGTGAGATGTCAATTGTCGGCTTGCAGCAAGGCACCTGGAACCTATTCAGATAGTGGAGGCGTTTCTACTGTTAAAGGAGCATGTTGGGAGCCATGACCTTCATCTAAGTCGTGGTGTCTCAGGAAATGGAGGATTGGGTGATTGAACTGTCACTCTCTCTTTTTTATTAGTCCAGTTGCCTTTTCTTACCACAGGACACTGATTGAATTATTGGACATTTTGGTTAAAAACTAGCCACCTATCTCTGCCCTCTGGACTGAAATTTTGAACACTGAGATAGATAGGTTGCCTGGCTTTGCTCATTTGGACTTAAATGTTAAGGCAATAAATCTCCCCATAGGTCTAGAAATGAAACTGCTGTTTCTCTTTGTGCATTGGTTTTGTCTCAGAAAAGTACTGATGGATTTCCAAACAGCTAAAGAAAGGCAGCTGAGCATCGCAAGGCTTCCTGAGGGCCCAGGCTTGTTCCTCCAAACTTTCCCATCTCCTAAGGGAAGTCTCTGCCTTTGATCTGTTTCCTCATGAAAGGGCTTCAGGATTCCAGATGCTTCTCTTTCCACACTGCTTCTCCTTGCTGTGGCAAGGAGATGGTGAGAGGTGGGCTGAGGAGGAAGGTGGCTCTAGTCCTAATGGGAGCATATTTCAACTGGTGTCCTGTAGATGAGTTAATTAGGCATCTGGGGAAAAGCACAGCTGTACTGTAGGGTGCCTTTCTGAGTGGTTCCAAAGGTAGATTGTTCTAGATGAAAGGCAGAAAAGTAGATCGCTATATACATCAGGGACATTGAAGTATCATTCCCTCATGGAACCTTGGGAAGAAGCACTGTAACCCAGGAAAGAAGTACATGGTGGGAAAGAAGAGGCAGTCATGGACACCAAATAGGATGACATTCTCATCTTCATTTTCAGATGCTTTATTTTTGTGCTTTATATCCAAGTCAGGTCAGTGCCAAAAACAAAGCAAGCAAGCAAGCCATCTTTATTTTAACCTATTTAGTGAAGTTGTCTCCACACTGCATTTCAGACTGAGACGCTGAGATGTTTCTGCATTTTAGAGGATGGAATCACTAGGGTTTAGGCTTTGAGGGAGGTTTTTATTCTAACTGTCCTGGCTCAAGCTAATATTCAGCCATTCTTGCTCTATGTCCTCCCAACTTGAGCTGTTCTAAATTGGGTTTATGATAACCACGAGCAATATCACCTTGTTTATGGAGCTCCATCTTCCAACACCTGTTAGTATCTCTGTTTATCCAGACTTCATTAGCACTTAGCTTCTTTTTGTAGAGATGCATATAACAGCAAAAACTGAGATTTATGGGGCCTTGATGCTCTCTGATTGTAAATGCTGGGTACACATATATTCTTATGCATATGCTACTATTCATATATAATATTATGACATGTTATTGGTTTGATGAAGTCAGTAAACTTGCTGATGTCTCATCACCAAGAATCTTTCAGAAGCAACTGGGAAGTTTACTCATCCCTAGGCCTGGTGTTTCCCACAGTACCTTTATGACAGTACACTGCCCAGTTTTAATCTACAGAATAGACAGTCCATCCTTAGAGCTTCTAAAATTGTCCTGTGTATTCAATAAAGAGTAATTTTAGGCTATGAGAAACTGCCTTAAATCTAATTCTTTATTCTTCTAGTCACACATGCTCTATTCTTCTAGTTATTTTTGAACTCTGTGTTGAACTATTCCAGTGAAACAACTGTTCTATTTTCTGGTTATACTTGATACTTGCTCACTTATGACTAGAAGGCTCTCTTTACTCAGATTTCTGTCCTACCATCTGTACCCTACCTCTGTCTCTTTTGGCGTTCTAACCATCCATTAGAATCTATTCCATTGCTTCACTTCACAAAGCTTTTAATGATCTGTCTTTTCTGAACCCCTCTGGTGATTCCTTTGGCTTCTGTCCTGATCATTATTTCTATCTGCTTGGCCATTGCTTTTCCTTTTCCCCATTAAGATGGGGATCTTAATGGCCTTGCCCATTCTACCACTGAATTTGGAGCCTCCTACAAGGGAGTTTTGTCTAGACTTCTTTACATCTCATTACCTCAGTGTCTTAATAAGCAAATATGTGAATGTAAAAAAGGGACTGGAGAAATTATTTTGAGTCTTCCTTACATAAATACACTTGATCTGGGTATAAGGTCTTACTACTAGTCCTTAACACACACAAGAAAGAAGTATTCAGAGGTCAGTGAATTTGGGATACTTGCTTACCATACCTCTTCTTGAAGACCCACAACCCATAAGGAGCCTGTGCTAACTTCCCTGACTGCACTCTCTACTGAATATGTTGGTCTTTAGAATAACATCTGTGTATATGTGCTCACCCTCTACCCTACTGCTATGGGAATTATTGGTGGTATAGACAGTGCTTAGCCTATGGAGCAGGGACTAAGAGAATGCACTGCACAGTAAAAGAAGCCTTGATTCTGGACAGACAGAGGGCAAGAAATCCATCCAAATACTCATCTCCCTGCTTGGAACAGGAGGCCTCTTCTGATAGAAGAGGCTTGGTGGCTTCTGGATGGTTCTGCCAGAACATACTCAGAATGGCTTTGAGATCACGATTAGTGAGTCTCAGGCCAAGCACTCATTTTTTTAAAAGGCACATCTAAAGAGCATCATGCTCCATATGAAAAGCAGAAATGAATTTCAGTACCAAATGAAAGAGTTCCCACAGGTTCCTGCAGCCTCCACTTCCACAAGGGCAAGTCTTTGCCAGAACAACTAGTTCACTGCTTTCTCCCAGACTCCCACGACACATGCCAAGTAGCAGGTCCCTTAGAAATGAGGTCAGGCTGTGCAGGGGATTGGAAGATAACAGGCTCTCAGAGAAATCCATAAGTAACAAATGACCTTTTAAAAAACACAACTGCCTTTTCCATTTGAAGTCAGTGCTTTGCCCAGTTAGGTGAGCAAATAGTCTGAGTTATCACTACTTTCTATCTCTCCTGCCCACTTGCTACATCCTCATTCTCTTCATGTGCACGGCAGCCAGATTATCCTAAAGATCACTAGGAACCTCTGAACTGCGGCAGCTGTCAGGGGTGAGGGAGGCTTCAGCAGACACATCCCTTTTATCTAACAGGGCCAAGGCAGGCTGGAATGCAGCTTTGACTGTCTCGGGACACTTCCTGTAAACATGAAGATGACTGTAGCCTTGTGATATTTCCATAATGACGAAACATCTTACAATGGAGAGAATTCACTAGAAGGATTCAATTTCGTGTCTCTGGAACCAGGTCTGGCCTGACTTCTGCATCTTTCTGGTTTCTCTGCAGTTCCTCAGCACTCTGTTTGCACCCTTGAACTTTGTCATGGAGAAAGTCGAGAGCATCCTGCCCTCCAGTCTGTGGCACCAGCTGACTCGGATCTGAGGGAAGCGCGTCCTTCCCTCTCCCACCGGCTGGCTGCCGCTGTCGCCTCTGTGCCAACGCACCGTGGTCCGTGAGAAAGCATGACTTTGACAAAGGGAAGCCATTCCGAGATTTTTAAATGTTCATGAACTGTTCCATATTAAAAACTGTTTTTGTTGTACAAAATTCATTGATGTTCAGTTCTATTTTATTTTGCCTCCCAAAAAAAAGAAGAAAAAAAAGTTTAAAAAAATCAAATAAAATTTTGTGTATTGCAGCAACTGTTTGTGTCATATGTCTTTTTTTCCCCCACCCTTACAAATGTTGGTGTTTCCAATAATCCTAGGACTTTACATGATTTCCGTGTGACTAGAATCTGCTGAATGTTACCATGTGGTTTTCTTTGCTGACAGAGTTCCTCTCAGCCCCCAGAACCACCCAGAGTCAGTGACTAAGAAAATGGAATCTCATAGCTGGGGCTATGGCTCAGTTGGGTAGCTTTTGCCTGGCATGTGCAAGGCTTTGGGCCATATCCCCAGATCCAAAAAAATGGAATTTCAAAATGAGAAATGCCAAACTGAGCATCTTCATAAGTTAAATGCAAGAGATTTGTGTTGGGAATTACCAGTGAAGCAAACATACATGGTGTAGCAAGTTTTCCAGCTCTCAAACTCTACTCAGTGTATAATACCACTTCACTGTCAGAAATCATTTTATTGGAAAATCTATGAGAAGAAAACTGAGGATAGGTATATATCTATATATATATCTATACCTATATAGATATATATATATATAATGGAATTTTATGCTTCCATCAGAAAGAATGACAGAGCCCCATATGTTAGGAAATGGGAAGACTTGGAAAAAAATCATATTAAGCCGGACCCAAAGAACTATAGGTCCCATGGTTTCCCTCATTTGCAATAATTAGTATATGTCTAGGATAATCTCATCAGATGAGCAGAAATGCTCAAAAAGCTATGTACATATGACCATATAAGATGACGCTAAGCAAAATGAACCCCAAGATATGGACACAAGAGGTCTTTCTTTGTTGGTGGTGTTTTTAATGTACTAGGTGATTTTTTTGTTTCCTTTGCATATTCTACCCTTATGTTATATCTTCTGTTGTCTCTGTACTTGATTTTGCTATCCCTGCATCTTGCATATGCATTTGTCTAATTTGGGGAGGAGAAGGGGAATAACAAAACATTGAAACAAGGACACAGGATGACCCATTGCAACAATGATATCCACAAGAAATTGGAAATGGATTTTACAACTTTGGGGGAGGGGAGGAATAATGGGAGAACAATAAAGGGGTAACAATGCTTGACTAGAGAAATGTGCCCATTACCTTACTCATGTAACTGTAACGCCTTGTACAGCATCTTTACAATAAAATAAAATTTAAAAAAGAGGAAACAGGAGAAACTATAGACCCAAACAGTCTGATATAGAACCTATTTACTCACATTGCTATTTTTAAAATATTTTATAGGATACTTTAAAAAATTATTCCTTTTTTGATGCTTTAGTATGAGCATCATTTGAATATTTTAGTCATACAAGCTACAGTGATCATTTGTCCTCACCACCTTTAAAGACTTTGCATCTATTCATATCTTGAAGAGCATCTAGCTCTACTTAAGCAAAAGAAGAAAATGTAGATGAATCCTCTGAAGTGAAAAGTACTTCCATCTAAAATCTTGATGTTGTGTTTAAGAAAGGACTGTCCTTTACATATTGCTGTCCCTTTGACTTGGAATCCTAACTTGCCACCAGCAGGAGGCGGCAGGGGTGGGAAGAGATGGATCCCCAGTCTCTTTCCAGTTGGACAGCTCCAAGCTCCAGTTCTTGCTAAGAGCCATCTTGTGGTAAGCAGGGGTACCAGGGCTGATGATACTTTGGGAAAACTCTTCTGACCCACTTGGGGGAAAGCCCTGGATGATAATACATAGCTGGCTACTGCTCTTACAGAACTTATCTGGAACAAAGGTTAGCCTCACATCCTGCTTTTTGAAGAAGAACCGCTTGCCTTATTGATCTTTTTGCCTCTTCTTCCCTTTCACAACTCTTGACATAGAGTGGATGCGCAAATGGTTGGATGGATGAACTGATGTACTACATGAGATGTCCAAATAAACTTATCTGTGTTGGAGGATAAAGACTGATTCCAACTCAGATGGATTAAAAAATCTCCTGTAACAACCCAGGTTGGCCTAGAAGTCAAGGTCCTCCTGTCTCCTCCTCCAAGAGTAAGTAAGGTGTGTACCCTACCTAGCTCAGCTGAAGATCTAATGTTTTGAGTATGTTTATTAATTAGGAATTCAGAGTAGTTTTATGGAATGGTGAGGCAGAATTTAAGATTGGGAAGAGTGGAAATTGAATGAGAAATACAGGTGGAAAAAGATGGTCACAGAATGTAGACAAAGGTGAAGGGGGCATTGAAGGAAATGAGTCCCTAGGCCACAAAAAGGTCAATTGAATGAGGAGGAAGACATCTGTGAACTTGAGGGAAATAAATTGTGTAAACTCACCAGACTTTCACCCTTATAACCCTGTCTATCTGTGAACAGAGTCTATGACTCTTCTTGCTTCTTTAATCTCAGAGCCTGACACACACTAGACAAATGTTCTACCAGTTGTGCCAGCACTTTTGCTTTTCTGGCGTTTTTCAGATTGAGTGTTGCACTGTTAAACCAGCCCCAGATACCACTCCTCCTATCTACCCTTGGAATAGCTGAGATTATAAGTATATATTATCATGCTCCTTCTCCTACCCCCTTCACCCCCCCATCTTCCTTTGCCCAACTCTTGAGTATACCTAAAAATTACACATGGAATATTGGCCCTGGGGTCTGGTTGCCAGGGGTGTTGCTCCCATCCCAGTGCTGTTAGGCTGACATAAAGGATTACTATGTTTAATTGTTTTAAAAGTTTCATATTGGCTGGGAATGTGGCTTAGTGGCAGAGTACTTGCCTCACATGCATGAAGCCCTGGGTTCGATTCCTCAGTACCACATACACAGAAAGAGCCGGAAGTAGCACTGTGGTTCAAGTGGTAGAGTGCTAGCCTTGAGCAAAAGAAGCTCGGGGACAGTGCCCAGGCCCTGAGTTCAAGGCCGAGGACTGGCAAAACAAAAGTTTCATATTTACAAAAGTATAGATAGATTGATTGATACGGTTATCTAAAGCATTCATTTGTATACCCTTGTGACTTAGAACTATATATTCTGTATTATAGACTATACGGCTTAATGAAAACAGAATGGTAGAACTAGCTGTCAAAGCAGCGAAGAAGATACCACTGAACCAGAAGGGAACATCATTCTGTAGATGTCCACTAAAGCAAAACAAAACCCAACTGACTTAAATGAAAAAAAGCATATCATTTATTCTGTTCTTAGAACAGCAGCTTGATGAGGAATGCTCTGGCAAAAAAAAAAAAAAAAACTTTTCTAGTAAGATTTTATATGAGAGATATTATTTATTCTTCTAAGTTGCCTACATGATCATTGGTAATAGATATAATGTTCTATGCAAGTGCTAGTGATGCTAGTGATGAGTCAGAGGTCTTCAAAGAAACAGCCAATAACACACAGGCACGCATGCACACATGCGTGTGCGCATACACACACACACACACACACACACACACACACACACCCTCTCTTGGTCTGCAAGCTGGAGACGAGGAAAGCTGTTAATATACTGTAAGAAGTTAGGCGGCGTCTGAAGGCCTGCCAGCTGTGGAATCCAGTGGTGTAAATTCCAGTTCAAGAGCTGGAGAACAAGGTGAGCTATCCTAACAAGTAGATAGGCAGGAAGAAAATGGGACATACTCCTCTATGTGGTACCTTCAGTTCTATTTAGATCTTCAACAAAGATGTGACACCTCAGAGAGGATCAGCTATTGACTCATCCAATCTGCATGCTAATCTCAATTGAAAACACCCTCACCAACACCCTCAGAAGTAATGGTACATCTGGGCAGCCATAATGTGTGCAACTCAACTCTGTGACTAAGCCTCTCTGTGAACCTGGTTCCAGGTCTGTCATCCAGATGGAGCAGGGCCTGACTGAAGAGGTAGGTTTGGAACCCTGCACACCTGGCCGCTGGCATTCCATAGTGTTGCCAGGGTGCTTACTCACCTGTCTCCTATTCCCTGTCTTGTCTTTTAAAGTAGGCTCACATTTGCCCTCACCTGACCATTAGCTCTATGAAGAAGTGCCAGGGGATGCTACCACTCAAGCGCACCCCAGAAGGTACAGCACCTGAGCAGGTCTCAAATGGCAGCATGGACTGCACACTTTTTAAAAAATATTCCAGGCATGTGGGAATTGGATAGGAGATCAGGAACTATCATTCCCAGGTTATATAGTTTAATTACAACACCAAGTGTAATCTGTGAACTTAAAACCCCGAGAAGACCCTGTAGCAAACATGAACCAATGTCTTCCCAGGGGGTTTTGACAGTTGTTTTGTCCAGTGAAATATTTTTATGAGATGCCTTGCAGCCTTTGTCACTGTTTTAGAAATTCCTACCTCAAAAATAATGAAAAGTCCCAAAGTAAACCTGTTTAATGCAACAGCTCTCCACCTGACTAAATTCCAGGACACTCTCCTCTTTTACAAAGAATAGTCATAGGCTGGGAACGGCTTAGTGGTAGAGCGCTTGCCAAGCATGCATGAAGCCATGGGTTCAAGTACTCAGTAGTACCATATAAACGGAAAAGGCCGGAAGTGGTGCTGTGGCTCAAGTGGTACAACACTAGCCTTGAGCAAAAGAAGCTCAAGGGCAGTGCCCAGGCCCTAAGTTCAAGGCCCAGGAGTGGCAAAAAAAAAAAAAAAAAGAATATTCATCAACATCTCAAGGCATCTGTTTTGGAATACATTGGAGTAGACCAGTGCTGAATCCTGTAAACAAGGAAGATGGCCTTTCTGCATATCTTGTTCTGCCCAGGTGGGGAGGCCTGCCAGACAGAATTCATCCCAGACTACACCCAGGTAAAAAACTATGTGCCTCCTTCTCAAACACTGTGCTGTGTCCACTTCTGCCTACTTGAGAGACCTTCAGAGGCTGGTCATGAATATTGGCCCTGAATACCACAGAAGAAGGGTCTTCACCTGCCATCACTATCAAAATGGAGAAATAGATGGGACAATTGCCACAATTTAAGAGTTCTCTCTGTAGTCACCTGAGAGGGCAAAAAAGGGACTGCTTCTGAATGAACCCTTTAAAATCTGGCTTTGGGGCTCGTGTGAACTCA